AAGCACATTCAAGCAAAAAAAAGAGACATTTCAAACATCAGATAAAGTTGTCTATGGAGCAACTTGATTCAGCCCAATGTGCGCCGCCCGTGGCTGCTGTGATCCGGATTATCAACCGACTTAATTGAAAAATTGCTTTCGGTGGCCGTTGCATTGAGATTCTTACACCTTTTCAAACTTGACAGCTACCTTTCTAAGACGGTAACCTAAACAAATATAAATAGAGGAGCGTTATATGTCAATTATTTGTTGGTATAGACAGTAGATAATAAATAAATATAAAGTCAATCATTGCCAAACATCCGCATGTCATTCATCAGTAACCACAGCCAAAGTCTTAATCCATCGATTAACGCAACACTAATCGACTGCTATTTATTCATCGATTTGTACCGCAGTGGCTCTTGCTCCCATCGAAACGAATACGCACATCGATTAATCCTTCGATCTTCATTTGCATATCGATTTAATCGGAACCCATTGAGCGCCCACTGCGCTCGCCCCCGACCTCCGACATAGCTCCACACGCAGTAACGTGGAAATCGTTTACACAGAATCGATGTTTGCCTTCATATCGCTTTAAATCTTTCGATTTAAGTTGTTTAACATCGACACGGTTATTGTTAACGCGTCACCGATAACTATCCGATTGAAATATTCATAGTATAATTACGATTACGAGCGATAAACGCATCTCTTGACCGGTCTCGAGCGCCCGCGCCCGCTGCACTCGGCGCGACGGTTCTGTTTACATTTTTATAGCGTCCGGTCGTGTGACATACCGGTCGCGCTCCAGTTTCTCGCCGTCCGGATCGCCGGCGGTTTTCTCCGCTTCCCAGGGAACCGTTTCACTCGTCATCGCAGCCCAGTCATACATACATAAATATGAGATTCTTTAAGTATTCGTCCCGCGGTACTCTTACGATGTTTTCGTGAATACGAATCACTGCGACCCGTACTCGTTGACGCAATCCTATCGTAGGATGCAGATGTTCTCGTGCATGAATTAGCGATATAAATATGGAATTCGGTCAGTGCCCTCGCCACGAACGGATCTCCTAATCTCGAGTTCGCCGTCTGCGAGTTTCGTAATATCGCAAAAGCGCGATTTCGCTTTCGACGCTTGCATTTCTTCCCCGGATTCCACGACGGATGTCTCGATTCTATTTCAAAGCACGTTCGATGTTCATTCTTTGTAAAAAAAACCTCAGTCGCCACTATAGAAGTTATCGACACGAGTTGTAAATTCTTGTTGTTTTTCACCTGTGGTCGGTCCCGAGGCGCGGGCGCGGATGACTCACCGTCGTATAACGTATTCGTCGCGGGCGCGTCTATGCCACACGTCGGTCTGTAATCGCTCGTTAGTCTCGCGCCTCCCTTTATTAACTTATCAGTACTATTGTTTTGATAAACGCAGCGCGCAATTTCAGTTGAGTCATCGTTATTGTGCGGCCGATGCGCCTTACATAATCGTCCGCGTGTAAGCCGATCCGCCGGCCCGCATCAGACCCGGCCGTTAGCCAACAATAAGGCTAATTTGACTAATAGGTGCGTTGTAATCATCACCGCGTGTGGTTCAAGGATTAAATACAGCATCAGACACATCTCGCCACTCCTATTGTTCTTGATTTTTTGTTTAACTAATTTGTAATCTTATAATCTGAATGTTTAGTTGTATTTGTATAGTTCTATCATTCGTTGAAAATGTTGTTTCGATGTCGAAATATTGGGGAGAATATCTATCGTTGCGGTGGCTTATGAAATTCAGATGTGTGTCCATTTGTGTGCTACGCTCATTTGGCACGCGCGTATGTTTTAACGACAGCGCGCCGCCGCACCACGCCGCGTCTCTAATTATATGGGCCGGAGTGTTCGCCGCTCGACACTCGACGCTCGCCGCACCTCTCACACCGTCCTCTCGCACCGTTAATTCATTATTCGTAAATGCACCGCCGGTTCGATTTTTAAAAGAAATCGCTTAACGTTTGCGAAATTCTTATAAAATGAACGGCTCGGCGGCCCTGTAATTAACGCACCGATCGACCACCCATGGGAGATGAATGGCCCACCGTTAATCCGCCAAAGCAATAATCGCATGTCGCCGGACAACAAATGAAGAGATTCATCCCGCGCCGAGGCGATCGACCGACGACCATGTAGATGCCGATTCGTTCCT